GAGTGAGTCTCAACACACACACACACTAAACAGACACTACACACATACAATACACGCATACACAATAGACACTATACACTCACAAACACACACTATACACACATAAACACACACTAAACAGTCATTATACACACACAAACACACTAAACAGACACTACACACAATGCATACACACACACTAAACAGACACTACACACACATAGAATACACTCACAAACACACACTATACACACATAAACACACACTAAACAGACAATATACACACTAACACACTAAACAGACACTACACACACACATACAATACACGCATACACAATATACACTATACACTCACAAACACACACTATACACACATAAACACACTAAACAGACATTATACACACACAAACACACTAAACAGACACTACACACAATGCATACACACGCACTAAACAGACACTACACACTCACAAACACAAACTGTACTATACACACACAAACACTCACACTAAACAGACATTATGCACACACAGAATTCACACACATACACTAAACAGACATTATACACACACACACACACACACTCACCCTTCTCTCGGTCTCTCCATCAGGAAGCCCCGTCAGTATATCTCTGCTATCCTGGATCTGTCTCGTCTGCTGGTCCAGCGTCAGCACTATCTGCCGTATCACTGGGACTGGCTGTACTGGCGCTCTGCTCAGGGTCGTCGCTTCCAGCAGGCCTGCGCCGTCGTCCACCAGTTCACCGCAGACATCGTGCAGGAGCGCCGAACGCAACTCGACCAGCAGAGCGACCCAGAATCACATCCAGAAAACACTGGACGATACAGGAAGAGGAAGAACACAGACCTCATAGACCTGCTGCTGCTGGCCAAGGCAAGAACACACTCATCACTAAACACTCGTCACGTCTCTGCTGCAATCATTTCAGCAAAAATACTCAAAAAATATGAAAATATATTGTAATTCAATATGGCTGGTTACTATGGGGATATATAATAATGTGCAATTTATATTTGTGAGGTAATGCTGAATTTCTTAGCATCGATACTGTGGTCTGTAGTGTCACCTGATCCTACAGAAATCAGTATAATGTGCACAAAAATACAGGAAAGATTGTGATATATTATTAGAATTGAAATTAACTGGTTTCTGTGGGAATATATAGATATGTGTAATTTGAATTTGTGATGTAAAGCTGAATTTTTAGCATCATTACTGCAGTCTGCAGTGTAAAAATAATCCTTCAGAAATCAGTAGGCCTATATGATGACAAATTAAAAACATAAGGTACAACATAACATATAAACAAACTATATATATATATATATATATATATATATATATATATATATATATATATATATATATATATAG